CCAGAGACGAAAAAGGAGATGTAGTGTTAGAAAAAGAAATGATTATTTCCAAATAAAGCTATACTATGATAAACTTTTTTATGAATTTCTTGTAATAAGGTTTTTTCGGGAAAAGATATCGTTTTATTAACAAATTAACTAAATAAAAGAGTACAAAATTAATTGATTATAAATATTGCAATAAATTCGACAAATTATTTTTTATATATTTTTTCCGTATGACTGAATCCCGACGACTAAAGTTTAGCTTTAATGTTTTGTTCATCTAACTCTACAGCTGCAGAAGCAATTGCGATTACATCTCGTTCAACTACACGAGTTTGAAAGATCACTCTGTTTCCTTCCTACAAATATTATAAAATTAAAAATTAGTAAAATCATCAATTAATTTAAACGATACAAATGAGTAAAGTAATTCATTATGATATACCTTCCACATTTGAGTTTCGAGTGTCTCGCCAGGATACACAGGAGATGCAAACCTCGCTTTAACATTCTTAAAGCTCTTTGCATCCTTATTTCCAAATTTAATCAGAACATGCTTCGCAGAAATACCAAACGAACAAAGACCATGTAGAATCGGGACTTCGAATCCGCCCATCGCCGACATTTCTGGATCGATATGTAACGGATTGAGGTCACCGCTTAGTCGATACAGCGCGGCTTGATTTTCAGTTGTTTTTTCTAATTGAACAGCATCTGGAGCACGTTTTGGAGGTTTATTTGGTGCGGTGGCGGGGCCGGAGTCTGCGCGGTCTTTTTTACCGCCGAATCCACCAATTCCACGAATAAATAAGGTCATTTCGTTTTCTAACACTACATCTCCTTTTTCGTCTCTGGTTGTTGTGCCGATTACAAGAGATGCTCCTTTGCCTTTGTCCAAAATATCAATGACACGAGGAGTTGTTATTAATTTTCCGGATACGGGTATGGGTTTTTTAACTTCAAGATATTGTTCACCGTGAAGAAGCATCATCTAATTAATAATGATAAAATATGAAAAATAAATTTTATTATAGCCAGAAATATTGACTAGAGAAATGTAGTATATAATTACCAAATTAAAATCTCCCAAAATTTCCGAAAATCTATCGACAGGTAGAGCAGCCAAGCCAGGAATCACGCCATAAGTTGGCAACACAGAGAAATCACTATTATCCTCATAAACCCATTGTAAGTCATTACGTGTAGCGCCAACACCAAGCGCATAAAGTATCGCATCTCTCTCGGTATAAATGTGTACTTTTGGTTCAAATTTAATTTTTTTGGCAGTTTCCACATCAATTGCACTCTCTTTCTGCTTAGAGTTTGTTTTTTTCGTTTGTTTACTATCGCTTGAAGATTGTGCATTGGAAAAGTTCTCAAAGAATTGTTGTAAAGCTTCTTGAGTAGTGGTTGGACGAGTGGCACGACCGTCATCAAAATTTGTAATTGTTTCCCAATTAGACGCAATATCTTCTGGTTGAAGTGGTTTAGAGACAGGAAAACCAACACCCCCGGCTCGTTGCCAACGAACTTGAGCCACCCATCCACCACCCACTTCAAATACCAAACCACTAGATGGAACATTTTCTGATGCTAAAAAGGCGACGAATGGAGCGACATAATCAGATTTAAATGCTTCGACCATTTCTGGTGGCCAAACAGTAGCAGTCATTGCAGTACCAGCATTAGGGGCAATAGTGTTAACTATAATATTGTTTTTGGCACCTTCGAGTGCGATAGTATTACTGAATCCGAGGATACCAAGTTTTGCTGTACTATAATTTGCTTGGCCAAAATTACCATAAAGACCGACTGCAGAACAAGTGTTAATTATACGACCATATTTTTGCTTTGAAAAGTATGGCCATGCTGCCTTGGTGACTTTATAAGTTCCTCGTAGATGAACCCGTTGCACTAGGTCCCAATCATTATCTGTCATTTTGGCAAATGATTTATCTCTCAAAATACCAGCATTATTAACAATAACATCGACTTTTCCAAAAGATTTAATTGCTGTGGCAACGACTTTTTCACCATCTTCGACTGAATCATAATTCGCCGCAGCTTTACCACCTAATTTCTTTATTTCTTCAACAACTATATCTGCAGCTTTGCGACCATCTTTTGTGCCTACATCATTAACTACCACCGAGGCACCCAATCTACTAAAAAGGTGCGCGTATGCTCTACCGAGACCAGCACCAGCACCAGTAACAATCACAACTTTGCCATCGAATTTGATATCTTCACCTTTAGGATTTGAGGACAACGATTTCGCTTGTTCGAGAAACGAGGTGAAATCGGTTTCTGCTGGTGATGCTGGATAATCGGAATGTGAAAAATCTGTAATTTCATTCCATTTGGCAGCGACAGAGCCTGGCAAAAAACTATCGTCAACTTTAAATACTGCTCCCTTTGATCGTTCCCATCGAAGTTTCGCGACAAATCCTGCACCGACTTCAAATAAACTTCCGTTTTCTTCGGTTGACTCATGACAAAGATAAAGAACTAAAGGAGCTACAAACTCAGGCTTTAGAGCTTCTAAAACATCTGGTGGCATAATGGTTTCTGTCATACGAGATGCTGCTATAGGTGCTATAACATTGGCGTGAATATTTGATCTCTCCCCTTCTTTAGCTAATGTTTCTGTAAATGAAACTAGTGCAAGCTTTGCTGTGTGTCATAAATTATTAAAGTATAATAGTAAATTATAATATAGATGAATTTAGATTATGAATAATAAATTACAAAAATATAATGAGGGATATTTATACCTGAACTATAATTTGCTTGACCAAAATTTCCATATATACCAGCTGCTGAAGCTGTGTTAATAATTCGGCCATACTTCTGTTTTCGGAATATATCCCACGCAGCTTTTGTTACTTTATAAGACCCGCGAACATGAACGGCCTGGATGAGATCCCAATCTTTGTCAGTCATCCTTGTAAATGACACATCACGAAGAATACTAGACAATAATAAATGATGATATTATTAACTGGTGTACATATAAATTTATTGTAAATGATCTCAAATTCAATATTACCCCGCGTTATTAATTACTACATCGACACGGCCATATGCTTTCAGAGCAGTCTCTATTATTTTATCGCCATCCTCTACAGAATTATAATTGGCAACAGATTTACCTCCAGCTTTTATGATTTCTTCGACTACTTTGTCAGCAGCATTAGAAGAGGATCCATCGCCAGAACGAGATACTCCTAAATCATTAACTACCACATTAGCACCACGGGAGGCGAAGGCAAGTGCATAAGCACGACCTAGACCTAAAAATTATGATAATATTATAAACACAACATTGAGTCCGGCGTAAAATAAGTGTTCTTAATCCACAGTTATTTAATTTCCATTTTTTTTCATATACACACCACCACCAGCCC